TGTATTGATATATGTGCAATAAAGACGCACACCATTTTGACCGCGGTTGACAACTTTATTCTTTGAATTTCCAGCAAGAGGACGTTATCTGGGAAATAACTTTACTAAATTTCGACAACTTAAATATTTTGATGCTACACCATTTTTTAAATTATTCAAACCCCAAAACTTAAAAAACTCTAACTCCATCTAACTTCACTTCCAAAAATTGAAATACAAATTTACAGCTCCCGTTACACAATCAAATCAACAACACTCCCTCTTGGTTTCTATCTTTTCGGTGCTTTCTTTCGGTGTATATTTTCCATTTCCCGCGTGGTTCTTTTCAGTTTCCGATTTGGTCTCTCTTTTTCTAAAAGTAAATGGCTTTCTTTTGTTCTCCGTTCAGTCGTTAATGTGAGAATATGGTTTTTCATCTTATTTCACATTGTTTGCTTGTTCATTGTGTGTTTTGTAATGTTCTTTCCGTAATTTAAAATTCCAAATTTAAGTAACATTCGATTCATACTCTCATTTATATTTGATATTCTTAGACATAGAGTCTTTCCTTTGCACATCCGTTTACTTTAGATGTAAATTACTTCTATGGTGGAGTTATTACTGTAGTTCTTTAGTTTACCGCTAGAGGACACGCTATGTACCTTTCTGCACATAACTCTATCACTTCTTCTTTAATTTTGTCTTACGTACAAGCTGTACTTGTTCCTTTTAGAGAAGACTGGTACTGGTGAATTATTTTTATTAATACGCCATTACTTTTTTTACTTATGTCTACCTGAATTGTGATTTTTTGTAGTGGCTATTATAGTTTTTCACTCGATATCTTATGTGTTGTAGCTGCTCCATTGAATACGCCTATCGGATTTAGATTTGTAAGTAGTTACGCTGGGAGGTATGTACAGATTTGACTCAACCTTGTTTTTAACACGTAATTTTTTTGGGGCTTTATCTTTTCTCATCGTTTTCTCTTAATTTTCTCTTCTGGTTTATTTATTTATTATCTACCGTAGTATTTCGACTTACATCGACGCAGAGCCTGGGATGACATCGTATTTGTTCCTAAATTTTAGCTGCAAATCTTTTGCAGATTAGTGCTCTTGTGAATCGCTTTAATATTTCTGATGCTACGTACATTACTTTTGTCGTGACGAAGATTATACCTTCCGATACTTCACTTGGGTTTACGTTACCTTTGTTGTTCCGAAAATTCATTCGTATTAGCTTAACTACGTTTCATATCCTTTATATTAAGATATCTACGATTTTTATTTACGTTACTTGTGTCATTACGAAGAATTTGCTAGTTGCGATTGCAATATTTATGTTCCGCGCTATTCACTATCCCTTTAGTTGTTTGTGTGCTTCGCCTGCTACATATTTATATTTCTCGGTACATAAATAAATATCTAAATAAATAAATAAATAAGTAAATAAATAAAATCTGACAGATAACGCAGAAACGCGCTTCTTCTTACCTTGAAATTGTTGCGACCTGCAGTTAATAAGGTAATATATTTATTTTCGACGACACCTTGATATAACGTTTGATTACATACTGGTTTTCGATACAATCGAATTGTAATTAATATATGTTTGATAGTCATTTAACAATATAGCTTCGTTGTTTTCTGCGGAAGACTGTTTTGATATTGATAATTTCCCTGACTACGAGTTGATCCTTTTTCTTTTGCTAAAAAGTGATTTAAATTTAAATGGTGACATTTCAAGTCTACATATTAGTGTCCTACTTGTAATATTTTGAGATCATTTATTAATTCGACATTCGTGGTATGTTTTGTAACGTTCTTTTCTCAACACTTTAAAATTCCAAACTTTTTTACTCTTATTTATATTCGATATTCTTACGCCATCTATGTTTTTCCTTTGTAAATCAGTTAAGTTTAGATGTATGGTAGAGTTGTTCTTTAGTTTGCCGCTAGATGTCACACTATCTATTTTCTGTATTAATAAAATCGGAAGGTTTTTCAGAGCCGAACCTTTTTCCCTGGAAGTTGCTCTTTTTTTCGAGAGTGCAGCGCATTTTTGACTTTACTTGCTTTGCTTTTAACACTAACGTAGGGGCGCTACGTTTTTTCAATTGGAAATTGATTACTTTTTACTCCTAATTTAGAGGAAATTTACGTATATTCATATTGTATCGTTAACGTGTTAATTTATCACGTAATAATATGGGCGGTCTAGTACTATAATAAATATGTACCAATTTAAGTGGTAACAGCGCGATAAATAAGTTAACCGCCGTTTCTATAAATTACCGATGGTGAAATCTTAAAACAGTGCTACGTATTTAAACCAAGCGCGTATCGCGACTGAATTCCACGAATTACTGCACAGAGTGCACCAAAATTATTGAATGAGTTCAATCGAACACATTTCATTTATTAATGTTCCTGAAAGAAATGCAGCGCATTGTTTAAAATTGCAGCGCATTGTTCTCTTTTGCGTGCGCGTTTTATAGTTTTCAGAATCTCCATTAATGCTACGTGAATCGGGCTTTAAACCATTCTTACAGGAACAAAAACTCTTCTTAATTCCTCGTTACTTAATATACAATTCACATTGTTCCATCAAATTGACGCTTCGGGCAGTTCATGTTACTTAATTAGCAATGATTGCTACAATAATTGATGTATTATTAGCCCCAAAGAAAAAGGTCCGCAGATCACTTGGTTTCTACGCTAATTATTTTATTTCGATATTCGTTTTACAAATTGCACGAAACGTGGTAGTGTAGTAACATATAAATGTGCTGTACCGAAGGGAAAAAATGAGGCTTTACAATCCTTCGACTTGTCACAGACGGCTTTCATTCCATATTTCCCCTCAGATGTCATCTCTAATGCTAAAAAATGGCAGTGACTCGGGCCAACCGAAGAAAAAAATATGCCCCAAATTGAATCTTGATGGAAAGTGTTTCGGTTCGTAGTTTAACGGACGTCGAGCGAGACACGGCTGAAAATACAAAGGGATGTGACATAGAAGTGCAATATAGAAAATTGTACGAGAACTGAAACACGTTCCAGACTTAGCATTACTATGCGGTCTTTGTAAAGGACATAACAAAAAAATAAGGTGGAAGCTGTAATTCTCTGTAAAATTCCACTAAAAAGGGAGGTCACGTGAGAAAGCTATTTTTCATTATATCTCTCTGAAAGTCCAACGAGAAATTCATTTTTCCCTCTACACTAATTTTAACGTTTGCATTTTCAAAACGAAAAACGTTGTTTTTATACAGACTTTCGGCCCAATTCAATTAGATTATTAATAGGGAAAATCGTTTTCACATGGCTGCACATTTTAAACAAGTGCTCCGTTTCTTTTTTACGTTTTGCCGGTTTCTTTAAACAAGGTAATAACAGAGCGAGCGTTTCATAAATTGCTTAGCGAAATTCCTTGTAGATCCTCGAAAGTGGGTACCTAAGTTATTTCTACCTTTTATGTTTGTTCGCATAAAGGTGGACGATCTGAAAATGGGAGTAATTTTTATCTTTTGCGGGCATTAGAGAGGAAAGTTTGTAGACCCGTTATGACAGAGGAACGTACGTGATCGAAGACCAGGAATAAAGTCTAATTGGTGTGCTACGTTAGAGGGGTTGTAGTGTTCTACAAATAGAACTTATCATTTCATTAATCATGATTTTAAATTTCACAATCAGCCCTGTGTCAAACTTAACGTGCATGTTACCTAACAGACAAAAAACGAAATTTTTGTTATTTGGTATGGATAAAGAACGTTAACCTGCACGTTAAGTTTATGTGATACTTTACAGGGCCGATTATCACGTGACACGTCAAAGGGTTTAACATTGGTATACTTTGTTTCAAGGGTGCTGAACCTTTCGTCACACTATCTGACGTCATATCAAAATTAAGGCAGGTCGTAAATTAGTAGTTGGTTTACATATTGTTACATTGACGTTTCAACTTATTTATTAAGGTGTCACTATCGTTCATTATTATCAGACCGTCCAAGTTGACAATCACTTGTAAGGCATCTGGTCCTGATAGGTTTTTTCCTGTCCCCAGGTTTTATAATGGCTAAATGGTCATGTATTTTATGTAGAGGAACTCCGTTGGTATGAATTAAACTCGAGATTAAACTTTTTCCACCGTTTGTAATCACCTCATGTAACCGATTCTTTGCACCGACGACAGTCGAATTGGATACTGCCAGAGCATCAGAAACTCTTTGAGATGAAGTGTATGATGGTTACAGAAAACGCATAGGAACATTTGTAACTTAAAGTTTGTTTAGGCAGTTCGTAAATTAATATTTCGTTTACCTAATGTTGATGTGAAATTAAGCATGCTACCAATGTGAAGAATACGCGTTAAGTTGCGCGAATTTTAATGACCCTTAACTAGCGATTTGCAGAAGTAGAATAGGCCATGGTTTATCGGTAAGCCTTTCGCATTTATATATCTTACAAATTTGAGATAAAGCGTAGGCATTATACCACAGGCTCATTGAAATAACAACGCATACATACAGTTTCTGTTCTTTTGCCACACACTCGAGATATTCGCATAAGGATCTTGAATATCTTCTGATCCGATTTATTTAAAAAAAAACGCAATTGTGAGAGAAAACAGGTAGTGAAGATATTTATTCCTGAAAAAACTCTCAAATGTTCATATTCAAATCGTATGTACAAAAGAAAAAACGACACTACACCACAAGTATATACATATGTATAAACGGCCCAAAATAATATTCTTAAACACGCTGATTCTCTTCTGCCTCATGAATATAATCATCATAATAATCTTCGTCACTATCAGATTCGTCCAAGTTGACAATCACCGGTAAGATGTCTTAATATATCAATATGTTGTTCCCGTTCCTAGGCCTGGTTTATAATGCTTCTGTATGATCAAAATATCTTTTCCATTTTTCCGGTGTAACCTAAACAATAAAGTTATTAAGTACTACTGTTTCACAAAACAGCATATAAAGAGGTTACTTTGTGCAGTGTCTCATTCCATAAAGACAAAACGGCACTGTGTGTGACAGGCTGAATTGAACCGATCCTTGCATCGTAATGCCGTTTGCATTCTGACCATACCATTTCGATTGGATTATACTCGCAGTGATATGGAGGAAGTCTCAAAACACGATGACCATGTTGTAATGCTAATTCGTTCAATCTGTACAAATCAACATGGAGTGAAAAAAACCATAACAATCAGCTTCCTATCCAAAGGTCTACCTAACTGCAACCAAACATTTAATTATCAGCGATGCCTACCTAAATAGTTTTGGTGGTATATGATTTTTCACTACTTCCCAGATCTGATCTTGCATCATTGTTGGTGCAAATCATTGAGTTAGAAAACTAATGGAGGGAATCAAATGCTTGGCCAGACGTAGACCACGGGAACCAAAAGTGGCCTCTAACTGTGATTAAAGTACCACACCACTTCCGGTATCATTAGCGTCTCACTTCAGTGGCGTAGAGATATAATTTTCTTTCCACTAATAGGAATAATAACAAAAAAAAACGTATAGGAGTAACATACATGCTCGTGGTAAAGTAAACAAAATAGACAAGGATGGGAAAGTATGCAGATTTAATATAATCATTGATTACAAATCTAAATATACATCGATGTGTTCCAGTAGTATAATTAAGGCCAGTTTACTATAGCCACTACAACTTGACAACTCCCATATTCACTGTGTTGATCAATAGCTACAATTGATTGGTTGGTCTCAGGTTCATTACAAGTTTTGATAGTACCTACTGCATATTTGACGAGATATTTGATGAACATTTTCCGGTGCAACCTTTGGTCGAAATCACAGTCAATAAAGCGTTGTGGGCACAAAAGTAAATTTCGAGAGCTGATCTTGAGATATATTTACAAATGTTAGGTAACCATTTTGCTCGAAGTACCGGTTCGTTTAGAAAACTAAGAAACATAAACTAGGTACCTACAACCTCGCCTACAACATGATAAATCACATCTTACCGATGAAAGGAAATGCCCTGTTTCTTCCCTTTATATGAAATTTTGCATGATACGCAGCTAATCATTCTCAATTCACAAAATTGCGTGTGATAAAAACACTATGTGGCAGTTAGTTATTTATATAAACCAGAGCACAAACCGATCCGAAAATATTAGGTACTTTAAAATGGCAAATTTAATAAAATTTGAATTTGGTGGAAAACTGACAGTGACAGGACCCGCGTTTTCATATGTCAAATAATGTCGGCCAAAATGTACCTTCACGGGAACCTATCCACGCGAGTGGCCTCTATCTGTGGCAACTTCCGTCTACAAAAATTCTTACCCCCTCTACCATTATATTCCCTCCATTAGTTTTCTAACTCAATGGTGCAAATGTAATGTCTCGTGATGTTAGCCACTTTATAAGTGACATTTTTGTCCAGCATTGATTTGGACTTTTTTCTACCAATCCTGAATGGTAAGAAGCGTTGTCCATAATTATAAGAGAAGGTTCATCCAAGTTCGGGATCAATTGTTGTTCAAACCACATCTCAAAGTTAAGGCAATTCATGGAGTCATGATAGTCTCCGGACTTGCTACCAGATTTAAAAATTAGACTTGCGTTTGGTACAAATCCATCTTCTGATCCTGCATCGAGTATTATATACCTGACCCCTTCACCACTTTTTTTTCTAACTGTTTTGAGAGTACCATCTTGCCAGCTTCTTCTAAAAGACCCTTTACTGTATATCCAGGTTTCGTCTAAAACCACAGGTGATCGTAATGGAAAGAGTGAAGTTTCGTTGTGTTTAAAGTCTCTCAAAAATTGTAGTCTTCTTTGAGCTACATAGAGCTGTTCCATTAAAAATAATCTATTAGAAACGGTGCATCTCCGCCACGTGAATTTCAGTTTCCTCAAACTGCGGGATAAAGAGGTAGCAGATATTTCTACGCCATCAAGTCGTTGAAGATTACTGTGTAAAGAACGGAGTGTAACATTCTCACCTATAAAATCAAATCCATAAGTGTTCTCGCGAACGTCTTCATTTGAAGCAAATCTTCCCTTAGAACATAAAGAATGTTATTTACCTGTCGCATACATTGCATAAATCCGTGTCCTTATTACATGTTCATGTATTTCATGCAGCGAAGGTCCGTGAGATAAACTAATAGCCACACTTTTTTGCGATTTGTAATCGTCATCTTTTTTAACACCTCTTGTACTAATTCTTTTTACAGTCCACAACGATACACCCAGGGCAGCACAAACCCTCTGTGATTAAGTAAGCATGATTATAGCAAACGCATAGGAAACACTTACATCATATACTGCGCTTACGGGTGTTAAAGTTTTGCCTGCTTCTTTTTCCCCTTGGAAGTACTGAATCAACTTCAAAATCAAACTTTGCTCACCTTCTGTGTATCGGTTCGTCATATTTACCTAATTGTAACGGTAATGACCTAAATTCATGATATGAGCGAATCGAACCTTTATGTAAAATTTTTAAAATACTTGTCTGTTAACGGCGTTGCTGCACTGTGGACTTGCCTAAGCGTTTTCAACTTTGATGATATTTACTTCACTTTTAACACAAACTACCTAATCAAAAGGCATTTAACACTGGAAATCTGTCTATAACGAAAATCGTTTGACGGATTGATATTATTGACAGATCAATAATTGGTTTATTTGTCACGACTTACGTTAATGACGTAATTTTTTTGTCTCAATCGATTTAAATGTAATGAAGAGAGAATCACATTTATGACGTCAGGTTCAGCACCAGTGAAACAAAGTATATTTCATTTTTGGGGTGTCAAATTACATTTTCAAGGTCAGACAAGCCCAGTGACTCCATTTTTTAAGATGTTAAACTAAAATGTTTGTCTTACAAGGTCCATGGCTCCAATTTTTTTGTGGTATCAAAAGCCAATGGCCTTAACTGTGTCAAATTACAATTTTAAGGTTATTCAATGCCAATGACTTCATTTTTATGTGGTATCTAATTGCATTTTTGAGGTTATCCGGGGGCACTGACCCCATTTTTATGGTCAATGATCCCTTTCCATTCGGCTCAAGTCAATGGTTACAGTTGTGGCGTCTAACTACCTTGTCAAGGTCGCCCAAGGTCAGTTGACCAATTTTTGTGGCGTCAAATTACATTTTCAAGGTCAAGACCAGAACAACTTAAGACCTTCCGCAGGTGCACTTCTAAAAAGCATAATGCCATAAAGCATAATCAGCGGACAAGCCACGTTTTTTTCAATTCACGAGGGGCCTCCAGTCAAAGAAAATTAAGATAAGCACGAAACCGTCCGTCCAGTCCAACAAGTCGAAGGCCTGTATAATCGAATTTGGGAAAAATACGGAACTTATCAGTACAGATAGGTTGTCTATTTAAAATTTTAAGCTGTTTCTAATTGTGTATTATTCTGTTTTATCTATACATTTATTATTAATCAATTATTATTAACCAAGAGCGTTAATTGTGTAACAGTTCTAAGCTAATCATAATCATTAATTCACTATTATTTGGTCATTAAAAAAAATAGTCAATAGAAACAAAGGTTTGGTTTCGTTGGATTCTATTGGCTATTTCTTAATGACTAATGATAGTAATGATTGTATAAATCCATCAGTGTCAGTGTTGTGTCAAAAATTAATCCATCAGAATTCATAGCGAAACTAATAATGGAAAAACAATCGTATTGGGTAATAACGACGGGCGTCATTGGAGGGAAAATGCGTAATTCCCATACATTCTCAAAATGGTTTGCTTTTAAATTGTTTATTCACCCGTTAATTTGTAAAGGGCGGGATCGAATCGCATCTTGAAACGCCAATGAATAATAACGGACTGCGGTTGTTCTTCCAAGACGTCGCATTTACATTTCAAAATAGAGGCTGACTGGGGGTTTTTCTAGGGTTGTGTATCTTACAGTAGTACGTACGCTTTCTTAACTCCAGCTCCAATTTAAATTGCGTTTATATACGTTCTTTTTTATAAATTATAATTATGCATCACTCCATGAAGTACTTTTTGTTAATATTGCAGTCGTGTCATTCGAGCATTTTTAAAAACTGAATACGACGTGAATGGAGAAAAATGAGACGGAAGTCAAGCTGTTGAATAGGCATTGTTTCCCAATATACAGTGATACTTATTAAAAAGTAGACATAGGAATTTACGTGTACTGATTTTCCCTATGTCTATTTTTAAATTACAAAATCTCTTCTGGACGCCTAATTTTATGGAAGCGAAATAACTTTAACAACAACAAATCATTATACATTCTAATAACATCTGGTATTCTTATTAAAAATGGGGCGCGGGGCATGAAAATAAATGAAGTTCAGAATAGAATACAGTATTGTTTCAATGGAAACGACGGGATAACCTAAGCTCGCTTTTTTGGACGTCTAAGTTAAATAACTACAGAATTTTCAGATGTCTTGTAATGGTTTCTATGCCTTCTGCTATAAAATAAGCACACGAGGATAAAGGGAAACTAACCATTTCCTGAAAGTTAGTGCACTCGATGGTTAAAGCGTCTATTTATCTTCTTATATAATAAATGAGTATGTTTTCATGCTAGAGTACAATACGGTTTATCTGATTGGGAAGGTATGTAGGTATGGCAGTATTGACCACGCAAGTAAAGCAATTAGCCTAATTATCAACAGAGCAAATGAACTATCATTTCCATTGTTAATAGCTTAAAAATACTTCGCATAAAGTATCTATCTTTATATAAGGCACTAAATATATACTTCTATATTCATTTGCTCCTAGAAATTCTGTAAGAAATGTCCACAATACATTCAATGAGCGTTACCTAAAATTAAAAAAAAAACACTTAAAGTTTAGTTCTTTACAAACAGTGCGAGTGCAAAGTCTGGAACTATCACCACAAATCTTTTAATAAACGTTTTTGAAAAATTTGTATCTTAAATTTTTTAATGGAAACCTTTTTTTATGCAGAATTCGGAAAGAGCATGAAATTATAATGACATACAAAAGCAGCAAAGAGACCCCCCCCCCCTGAAATTAAGCGTTCACCTTTTTTAGAATTTCCATAATACGGAGAGGGTACTAGTAAATTCCGAGACGCTCGCGTACCTAATATGGAACTCGTTCAAAAATTAAAACTTCTTTAATTAATTACTCGGCGTTCAGAAAAATATGGGATCGATATCAGACTTCAAGTTTTTTAAGCGCGCTTCTTTTGAGATACCGCCCAGCTTATTACATTCACTTGCTTTGTCGGACGGAAGTTTCTGTAAACGTGGTTCTAATTGACACCCATTGTCTCTTGGAATTTAAATTTTAAACTAAAATCGATTAATCGGTAATTAACGGACCTAAAACTTAATAAGAATGATTATCTCTCTTCTTCGCTGCCAAGAGCGCTTTCAGCGGCGGTAAAAACAGTTTAAATATTCCTGCAGGAAAGGTTGTAAAACTAATAAACTTTTTTTGCGTATTTTGTCCTAGAATTTCATGCTCTTTCCAAACTCAGCTTAAAAAATAAGGTTTGCTTTAAAAAAATTGTCGTTTAAGTATATCTCAAAAACAAAAAAAAAACGATTCTGAAGTGAGAATGGATATTGGAATATTGTCTAACAGTTGAACCTTAAAAAACAAGGATTGTATGTGAACAACAAAGGTTTCACTGATTTCCGCATAAACCGGAAGTGGTACCGGAAGTTTCAATATGCGATCGGATGGATCGTAATGTCACGTATGAAATTATATTTCACAAATTTTTTGTACCTCGCCACGTAAAAGATATATTCAGCTGACCCACTTCCCTCGAACCACTGTATACAGCGCTCACGCGATGGAAGGAACAAATTCATATACAATTTGCTTGTAGTTTCTGGAAAAATCTTGATGTACGTATACTGCTATCACATTTTTTTGCATTGCGGTGAAATGTATCCACATTTTGTCCATCTAGTGTAGTATGATACTTACAGTTAGTAATCAAGTATTAATTTTCAGGGTTTTTGCGACATTTTCGAAGGTAGCAGTTTTCAATGACAAGCATGCCAATGCTGTGAATTCGTCGTATAGATTAGTATCGTCTAAATAATCGCATGCATTGGACGCTGTACCTGTAAATTAACAGTTCGCCGTTACGAACTGAAAATTCATAATTTATGACAGGCGCAAATTTAATTGAGCAATGGATAGGAGCCGCTGTGCGAGTGTTATTTACTTGAAAAAAATGATGCGAGAGAGAAAAAACGAATTACCGAAAAAAGCGGAAAAGTTACGTTTCCGTCAGTTCATGTGGCGATTAACACAATTTAAACGGGAAATCTAATTTCCAAGTATACAAAACCATCCCTTTATCCCCGTGCGTGCGTAACAAAACGTTAAATTACCTACACTTACAAGGGTTAGTAGGTTTATAGCTGGCGATTTACGTAGAAAGACGCGCTTTTAATCTTTTTGCCATGCAATCCATGCGTAAAAACCCGCACAGGCTTAAGGTTTTTTTTTATGTATTAGGCTTTGCGAATGCACATTAAACAACCCAACGGAAATTTATAACACTCGTCCACGATTTATTCCGTAAAATGAAACGGTTGGTGACAAGGGAAGGACAATTTATGGGAGAGGTTTATTTACCTACCCCGCAAACATAACACAAAACTCTCCAATTAGGAGAGTGTTTGTCAATATTTAACAGTAAGTAGATTAAGTGCCTTGTAACACAGCACTTAGCATGTTATTAACGCATGAACTAAATTGGCAAGAAAATCGATAAGGTATTTGCAACAGATTTATGGAAAGCATATATGCACGTGATTGTTTTCTGAAGTTGATTGTTGTTTAACATTACCATAGTCCATACGTGCCATTCTACAAGTTTCCATGCGAATTTGTTTAATACTAATTAAACCGAGAGCAGTTTTCCGCATCTACAAATTGCAAATATTTGCTAATATAATTGCATCCAGCTATTGCTAAATATTAAGCGAGAGCTCTAATAAATAATAACCGTTTGCGTATGGAATCAATACAGATTTACGACTTTGGATATTCAAAGTTCCGTTTGTTGATTGGGTTTTCGACGTTTCCGATCCTATCATTAGTGCTAACGCGAATTTTTTAAAAAATAATTAGCAGCCTCCAACCTGCACAACAATGAAACTTCATACAAACAAGTTGCGTCGTTATTCAGGCATTACGCCAATGAGGATAAATGTCCAATATTTTCAATCCATTAATTATTTTGCCAGGAGTTTTTAACAGGATCTCGCCAGCCTTTCATCGCATTCCTATTCGTATCTAAACCCTGGATCAAGCAATCAATCAAGCAGGCCCTGATGTTGGCTGTTCACTGTTTCTCTGTTTAATGAGACCTTCACCCTCATTAATGATACTATGTAATGCTGTTAAAGGATATAGGTATAGGCCAGTGCAATTAGAGTAAAAAAAAGGGGCCGCGATCGTAATTATTTGGGTTGATTAAATTTTTTATGTTTTATAATTATAGTACCGCGACGACATCTTGAAAAAACCAGCCCAAATAGCGCAAAAATCTGTGTTTCCTATA